ATAGAAGGATTAGGGGTGTTGGGTGGGCACAGTGGCTAGAGCCAAGCCTGAGTGCCACCAAGGGCGCATTCCCAAAGCCAGTGTCTTGGGCAGAGTGGACATCAGAGGTGGCCCTGTGGTTCCCCCATATCCTGTGTGGTTTTCATGGATGAGTCTCAACTGAGCCCTCCCTGGCTGGGTGGTCACCTGTCACAGGTGTGGAGGTAGAGCCAGCCTGCTTCCTGCTACCCTCCAGCTGGCTGTTAGAGGGGACCCTGGGCAGGGAGGCACTTTTTAAAACCAGGACTTCACTGACATCTTGTTTGTACATAGTAAACACGTCCCGCTTACGTGTGACCTCACAAGGGTGACCACTGGCTGCAGGTAGGGAAGGGGCACTGCAACCAGGGAAGGGACCTTGCAGTTCATGGGCCCAGCAGCCTGCAGGTCCAGGCTGCCTCCCCGGTACAGAATAATTGCACCTGAGCGAGGCCTCCATGAAGCCCTGGCATCGGCACGGGGGAGGGTCTGAGGAGGCCTTCACCTCAAAGAAAGAAGCCAGAGCCCTAAAACAGGTGGAATTTCTTCTTTTTATTAGCATTGTTTAGCAACTAGAGCAGCAACTTTCCCTGGATTTTACAATCAGCAAAGAGAGAATCAAGGGTTGATGACTTTCCTCAGGGGCTGCGTGCTTTTTCTGATGAAGTCATCTGAGCACAGAATACAATGACGTTCATGCAGAATTGCCCTTTGCAGGGCATTGATGACGTCATTGCTCGAGAACACGAGAGCAACCGCTTTTGGCCGTTGTGTGCACTGCTCTTTGGTGGCCAGATCACCTCCTTGGGACTTCATGTCTTGTCTTCCTCGCCGTGTTCTCTTTCACTGTGAGCCGCTCGGACTGCCAGGTCCTCCCTCACTCCGGCTTTGCCTGGCCCCCCAGCTCGGTTCCAGCATCACTGTCACTGATGTCATGAAATCTGCATTTTGACAGTTTCACTTGCCTCCCGGTTGCTTTGCTTTTTTATTTCTTTTTCCCTTTGTGGTCCTGGGGATGGGACCCAGTGCTTGTGCATGCTAGGCAGGTGCTCTACCACTTGAGCCGCACCCACAGCCCTTTGCGTTTTGAGACAGACTCTCATTAATTTTGTCTGGACTGGCCTTGAACTTGCATTCCTCCTGTCTCCACTCCCAAGTAGCTGTGATTATAGGCATGTGCCCTCAAGCCGTCTCAGATTTGCTTTCAGTTTGCCTTGTGTTGTAACTGGCATATTTAGGAGAGCTTGGTCTTGCAGAGACATAGAAACAGGGTTTGGACCATTACCCAAAAACCATTATCCTGAATGCCAATACCACATGTTGACATCCCAAAGATCAAAATCCCTAAACCTAAAAATGCCTGAAGATCAAAAATCCTGAAAATTACAATCCCAAAAGCTTAAAATCCAAAGTGTTGAACTCCTGAAAGCTGACAACTCCCTGTGGGAACAAGTCTGTATAAGTGGGTAGAAAGCCAGATTCTGGGGAGGCATGAAGTGTCTCTGTTGTGTCCACCACAGCCACCGATGATTCAGTCCTGTGCTGCTGTGGCCTGTCACCATGCATGCATTTGGTGTGCACTCATTGCAGGTGCAAACTTAGAAACTGCTGAGAAGCTGACAGTACCACTGTTGCCCAGGCATCTTCCCCACCTGCCAGAAGTGATTCTCAAGCCACCAGCAGCGTCATTGACTTCTTCAGAAAATGTGATTTTGTTTTTATTTTTAATTATTTTTTATGGTGCTAGAGATCAAACTCAGGGCCTTGTGCATGCCAGGCAAGCACTGTACCACCGAGTCCACCCGCAGCCAATTTGCCCCTCCCTCCCTCTCACCCTCTCTCCCTTCCTTCCTTCCCTTCTCCCCCTTCCTTCCTTCCTTCCCTTCTCCCCCTTCCTTCCTTCCTTCCTTCCTTCCTTCCCCCTTCCTTCCTTCCTTCCTTCCTTCCTTCCCCCTTCCTTCCTTCCTCCCCCCTTCCTTCTTCCTTCCCCCTTCCTTCCTTCCTTCCCCTTCCTTCCTTCCTTCCCCCTTCCTTCCTTCCTCTCTGCCATACCTCCTTCCTCCCTCCCTCCCTCCCTCCCTCCCTCCTTTCTGTCTCGCTATGAAGCCCAGCCTGGCTTCGAACTCATGATCCTCCTGCCTCAGCCTCCTGACTGCTGGGATCACAGGCACATGCCCCATGGCTGGCTTGCAAATACAATTTTCGTTTATTAAATGCTCCTGGAATTTCTTCGGCTGGAAGGAATGCTAGTGCAGACAAATGACACAGTTTTTAAACTGGAGTTTTCCTCATCGTATTTCATGGCCAGCCACTCGTGGGAATTTTTCACCAAATGAATTGGGCTGAATGAGAAAACTTTATTGGTCGCACCTTGAAATTCACTTGCAGTGTGATTGCACTGGGCTCTCCAACTCTGTCCTTATTATCTGGGGATTCCATTGAGAGGGCATGGCGCTGGCCCCAGCTCCAGGTGACTGTGACGGAGCTGCTGCAGGCCCGTGGGCACAGCTGCTGCCTCCTCACCAGCACTTGGCGTTGTCAGTTTTCTTCTTAAGTCATTCTGGTAGAAGCGTTGAGGCACTGGTGTGGTTTTAGTTCCGTCCTCTAGTGCCCTGTTTGTACAGCAGTGTGTCCAAGTCTTCTATACACACTTAAAATCGGGTGGTTGATTTCTTGGCTGAATTCGGGTTATATTCTAGATGCAAGTCCTTTGTCAGCCGTATCACTTGTAAATAGTTTCTTCTCACCTGTGTAGACCTTCTTGTTTTCTTGGACTTGTCTTTTGCACAGCAAATGTTTTAGTTTGTGTTCTAACTTAACCAGTTCTCTTGTGTTGTGGATGTTTTGGTTAACGTTGTACTGGTCACAAAGATTTTCTCCTGTCTTGTCTAGTTTTACACTCTGGGTTTAGATGCGTGATCCATTCTGAGCTAACACTGACGGAAAGAAAGTCTGTAGTGTCACTTGAGGTCCGTTAGTTTGCATGGCATGCTTCTCGTTCAGGTACTGTTGGAAAGCGAGGCGCCATGTTTCTGCGCCTTCTGTTCCGTCTCATGGATCTGTTCCCTGCTCTTTAGCTAGCTTCTCGCCTTCATCGGCATTCTTAGGATTGGGTAGCGGGAGCCTGCCAACATCGCCCTTCTTTTCTCGAAATTGTTCTGGCTGTTCTGTTTCTTTGCCTTTCCTTATGCATTTAACAATTAACCAGCACAGGATTTTAAAATTGGAAAAGTGTCAAAAATTTGGATTTCCAGTTTCTGTAGGGAAACTGAGTGATCTGTTGACACTTCTGTCCTGTGACATTTGACTGGGGCAGAGCTGGCTTCTTCCTCAGATGGGCATCTGTGGTCTACTTGCTTGCAGACCCCCTCACCCTTTGTCTGCACGGCCTGGTGTCCTTTGTGTCTTCTGTGGACAGTGGTGTCTCAGCCTCTTTGCACCACTGGCTGTGGAGTCCTGATGACCACGAGGAGGACAGTAGTAACTACAGATCTGGTCACAGCCTTGTTTTCCATGGTCATCTCTCTGCAGGTATTTGCCAGTACAGAGCATTCATGTCATTGTGTCCAGTTCACAGATGTGGAAGCTGCGTCTTGGTTCAGTAGTCCACATGGTGTGACTTTCTGGGACCCCAGGGACTGTGGTCTTTCCGTCAGTTCACTGTGTGTAGCTCTGCCTGCTCCACCTGGCTCTGGCTGTAGCTGTGGAGCTGTGTTCTCAGATGTCTGTGCTGGCCCCACCTGGTGACAGCTCCAGGCAGTGGTATGGATGGTGTGCACAGAAGAACATGTCTTGCTTGGGCGACCCGAGGATGCTGGGTTGTCAACTGCATATGCGACTATCTGGGCTGGGATCCCAGTGAAAGCCATCACTGCCTCAGGAGAATGGGGGTCAGGTGGGGACCCTGGGTCAGGCTTGAGCCTGAGTCACCAGCTCCTGTTCTAAGACTGCCACGGGTCTGGTGGGTCTGGGTTTTGGTGGCACAGGTGTGTGTTGGAGCCATGGTTTTCCACTTCCTGTGTGTACTTAAAGCAGTTCCTTTACTTGCTGTGCCTGGTTCACTCTTCTGTAAAATGGGCTGACAGCAGTAGCTGCTGCCAAGGGTGTGAGGTCATGTGAGTCAGTGTGGCCTACTGCACTTGTCGCAGTCACTGGCGACTGTGGCTGTGCTTGTTATGGTGAGCTCGACACGGGGGGCCCAGGACTGTGAGGAACGCCCTGGCCTTCACATGTCCTGGCCAGGTGGCATGGTTAACGGGCATGAGGCCATGCTTGTGGTCTGCCCACTTCACAGTGTGTGTGACATTTTCCCCCCTGGCACCTGTGGAGTGGGATTAGCAATAGCAGCCCCTGAAGGCTGCTGGGAGGATTGAGTGACATACCGGTTCTGGGTCCAGGTCCATAGCACACGCTGTCTGGGGCCTGCGCTCTCTCCATGACGCGTGAATGCTGGACTCTCCCTAGTCCTGCACAGAAGTGGTTCCCAGCCACAGTGGAGCCTGAGTGACCACTGGGACCCAGCACCAGGGGTCTCTTAAGTAGGGGGTAGAGCCCAGGCTCCCAGCCCCACAAGCTGTGCCCTGAATTCGGCCCCGAGTGTTCTGGGGACCACGGTCACACAGAGCCTGGGAACCTTCTCCACCCACCCCTCCAGAGCTGCTCCAGCCTCAGGGCCCCAGCTGTGGGTTGCCATGGAGTCCAGCTGTCATCCCCTCACACTGTTGCTAGGCAGGCCTCTGGTTGCCAGGCTACCTCCTTAGACACCTCCATGGCTCTTGGGCTATGGGAGGGAGCAGGGTCCTGGGACCCTGCGCTGCTCTTACAGTGGACCCTGGAGCCTGGGTGGCACTGGGGCTGACGTCAAAGCAGTCTGAGGTGGGGTCTAGGCGTCCTGGCTGCCAGCCTCACAGTCACAGCTGTGGTCCTCATTGCACAGCCCACCTGAGGTTGGGCAGGTCTTACAGATGGGGACAAGTAAGGCTTGGGGAGGCTGGCAGAGTGGCTCAAGCAGTAAGAAGGCTTGGGGAGGCGAGGGAGGGTTGGGTTTGGCATGGACTTTCTATACTGGCTCCCAGGGGATGGAACCATTCTCACCCTGTCACACGGAAGATGTGGCACTCCAGTCTTTCCCCTGCTGTCAGATATACAGCCCTCCTCCCCCAGGACCTGCCCACTGTGCATAGCATGGAGACCCATCTCCTTCTGCCAGGCTGCCCGTTGTGTTCCTTTCTGCTCATGTCCCCAAGTTACCCCTCCCCCACCTGTGTCACTCTTTCCAGTCCTTCTTCCTGTCTGTCTGCTCTGTTCCAACCATTGTGGTCCCCTGAGCAGGCCCTTACCACAGGGCCTTTGCACGAGCTGTCCATGGCCTAGGCTCATTCCTTCAATTGATTGAATCTCTGCTGGACATGAGGAACCTCAGGCAGAGGTTCCTAGTGGCCACCGTATGTGTCTGCCTCCCACTTCTGTCTCCCTCCCTGGCTTGACTTTTCTCTTAGATCTTGTCCAGTGTATTTTTTGTTTATGTTTGTCCTGCCATCCCAACACAGCGCCCAGGGGTGCAGCCTCATGTCTTGTTCATGTTCTGGTCGGTGCTGAGCAGGGGAGTCACGGCTGCATGGCATCTCCCTGTGTCACCGTGGAGACACGTGTGGTCCTCTAACCCTCTGCCTCACTGTGGATCATCAGCCTTGCTGAGGCCGAGCACGTCCCTTAGTTCCTGATGACCTGGTGGAAGATCCCTGCAGTGTGTCTGTGCCTTGTCAGGTCAGCAAGGAGCCTGCGGTGTCCCCTCCCCTGGCCCCGGGGTCAGCAGTTCTTCCAGTGTCACAGCTTGGCAGCTTGCCCTCAGGCTGGGAGGAAGGTGGTTTTATTCACTGGGCTTCCAGAGCTCAGCACCTCACCGCTGCATAAACACCTTCCATCATAGGCAGGAGCCTGAGGCACAGAGGCCGAGGTCACCAGCTTGGGGCCACACAGCAAGAAAGAAGTGGTTCTGGGGTTTGAACCTCACTCTGTCTGACCCAGAGCGCTGAGGCTCGGAAGCCTTTATTCTTGGGCTCCTTTCCCATGGATACGAAGTGGAGGTGGCCTGATGAGAAGGTGGGGAACAGCAACCTTCACTCCTCTTGCTTATCCCTGTTGCTCTGACTTCCGGCCTTAGCTCTGAGCCGCCTCCTCCAGGAAGTCTGCCTGGAATGCGCCTGAGTCACTTGCCTAGACCTGTGTCCTAGCACACACTCCTGAACTCAGTTTCACCTTGCGCAAGGCAGTCCATCTCCCTCGCTAGACTGGCTCATGAGAGGGCCGACACTTAAAATGGCCCAACGTGAGCTCCTGTTCCACCTGGCCCCCAAACCACAGTCTTTTCTGTCTTGGTAAAAGTGACTTCTGTCCTCTGGTGTTGCAGGCCAGAAACCAGGGAGCTGGCCTGAACATCCCTCTCTCCTCCCCCATCTCCAGCTATCAGTCATGGATTCTGCCTTCAAAATGTCTGGAGTCTGACGCTTCTCACCTCTGCCCACCCCCAGTCCACTGCCTTCTGTGCTCCTCCACACAGTTGGGTCCTGTCCCATCCCTGCTCAGAACCTTCTGTGGCTCCCACCTTACCCAAAGGCCCATCTGTGGCCCCAAAGGCACTGCACATTGGGCTGCTTGGGTCTTACCTTGAGTCCTCCTCCTTGCCCTGTCACTGCTTCTGGTTCAGCCTCACGGGTTCCTCCCTGTCTCAGTACCTTTGCATGTGCCTCTCCCTTTGTCTGGAAGTCTTCGTGCATGTCCACATGGACTTTTCCCCTCCTTTGTTTAGGTCTCAGCACAAATGTCACCTCCTCAGTAAACTCTGTTGGGTGCGTGAGTGAATGAGTTGCTGGGCTCTCTGTGCAGGTGCTGGTGCTTTGCGTGGTTAGCCATTAGGAAAAGAGTCTGGGTGGGGCGCTTGGAGACCAAAGGCGGCTGGGTGCCAGGATGTGAAACTTCCCCCTAAGGTTGTTGGGGACATTTCCTGAGCACCTGCTGTGTGCCGGGCCCGGTGGCAGCCATGCTGTCTGGGCTTCTGTCATTTACATCTGCACAGTGGTTCTTGGGCAGGTGCTGTTCTGCCCACTTGACAGATGAGTAAAACCGAGGCCAGGCCAGATTGACTTCCCCAGACAACTTCTCCATCTACCCTGGCAGCCATCCTGCCACACGGCTACCTCTTCCTCTTCCTGTTCTTGTCACAGACAGGAGTGGCGTTGTGTCACTGCTCCTCCTAGGGCGCTGACTTCCTTTGCGGCTTCATGTGGTAGGAAGTTCTGCAAAGAGAAAAAAAAGGAACTGGGATATTTGTTCTGTCTGTCCCGTGGCTGGTGTCTGGGGCAGCATTTGGGACCTGGGTGCTGCCTTCTGGTGCCACTGCCCCTCATGGATGAGTCTTTGGACTTAGACTCCCTAGCCAATAGCTCTGTGCTGCGTTCCCAGGCCTCGGCCCCAGGCTTGGCCCCAGGTGAAGTCCCTCCCACAGGCAGTGTCCAGTGTCACCCCCCCCCAATGACAAGGACAGATCTTATTGCCAGGAGCTGCTCTGTCACAGAGCAGGGGACGGATGACTCCTTGCAGCCTTTTTGGGGGTGCGGACCCCCTGGGGGGCTGTACCTAGCTAGGCCCCCAAGGACGTGGTCCAGGTGTCTGGACCCAGCTTTGCTCAGCGATGGGCTGGATAGAGAGGTGGAGAGAGCGACAGCGCGCACTGGGAAGCGCTCCATTGTGCCAGATCCCTGGGTTCCTTGAACCCTGCATGGTTAGCTGGGAATTTTTTTTTTTTTTCCTTTTTTGAGACAGGGTCTCATTCTATAGGTCAGGTTGGCCTTGAACTCTCCATCCTTCAGCTTAAGCCTCCTGAGTGCTGGGACTATAGGTGTGCACCACTGTACCCAGCAGCTGGGGGCATTTACAACGGCGGGTCCCCTGACGTCCCCAGATCTCGTGTGGTTAGAATTTCCCGGGCAATGTGGTTTTCACAAGGCCCCCGGACTGATTCTCAGGCCCACTCCTTGGACACCAGACCCGTTAAGTTGGGGATGCCCCCCCAACCCCCACCCCAATCTGTCATGTGCCTTGTAAATTATAAAGACAAACATTCACAGCAGAAAACTGGAAGGATGCCAACAGTTACACAAAAGTCAGTCTCGTGGTGAACATCGGGTTTTCCTCCTGGGGCCTCCAAGGAATTTACTGAGCACATACTGTTTACGACCAGGTGAGGAAGGTGCAGCAATGCACAAGCCAGATAAAAGTCATCTCCCTCATCCTGCTTACAATGCAGACAGGCAGCGATGACACTAAGTAAGAGAAATGGCTGGGTGTGGTGGTGCACACCTGTAATGTCAGCACTTGGAAGCGGAGGCAGGAGGATTGAGAGTTTGAGGCTAGTCTGGGCTGCATAGCGAGACCTTGTCTCACAAACAAACAAACAAAACAGAAAAGTGTGTCGTGTTAGCAGGAAATAAGTGCTACGGGGAAATACGGCAGTGAACGTGGAGGTGCAGGTGCTGAGAAGGCTTGGCAGGCTCACTGACGAACAAATTCTGTGTTTACCTGGGAACGGACAGACAGACCAGTCTGTGCAAAGGCCCTGGGGCGGGAGCCTGCCAGGTGTGTTTGTGGACTTTGTAGGGGAAGAGGGGACTCAGAGAGGGTGGGCGCGAGGTCATGCAGAGCTTGGAAAGCTGTGTTAGCAGGTGTGGTTTTATTCTGACGGGAAGTGACATGAGGTGGCTTTGCCTTTGATGTACAGGGCCTGCCCCATGCCTGGCCGGCTCCAGGCCCCTGGAAGTACCCCCATCAGCTGGAGGATGAATGTGTGTGGATGTCTGTGGTGGTGGGGACACCTACCAGACACCCAGAGTTGACCCTGCAGTCCTGCAGGCTCATTGCATTCTGTGGGAACTCCCTGCCTCTGTCTCCCCACCACCCCGACCTTTTCCTGTTTACCTCGGAGCCTGACGACACACACAGGCCTCCTCCTTGGAGGGGCTGTGTGTGTATGGGGAGGTCTGGGTGTCCTGGGTATGGGGGGCTCCAGGAGCCGTGGGACTATGGGAGGAAAGGCAGGCATGGTCTGTCCAGAGCCCACGGCCTCCGCAGGAGCTGCTGTGCACGGTGATGGCTGAAGCCGGGTGGCCAGATGGTCCCTTCTGTGTGGTCACATGGTTTGGATGTTTAAGGACCCGGTGTAGTGAACTGGGACTTGTGTGTCACCTGAGGTGAGGACCTAGGACATCTGGCACCTTGCTAGACAATGCCTGGCCCTAGCCTCAGTCCTTGAGCCTCCCTGGTTGGCTGCTCTGTGCCCACATGCGACCGTGGTTTTCTTCTGGTTGTGTACTGCGCTGTCCTGTGCCTACTCTGCACTTGTCCATCCCTGCCCCCTGCCGTGATGGACACTGTCATCCTCTATGTTTGGGAGTCTGTCTTTCCCCTGGCCACACACTAGGTCTCACCTAGTGGTTCCCTTAACCCTTGAGAGCACCAAGCAATGGGGCCCTTGCTTGCCCTGTGGGACAGGCTATGTGTGGACATCCTGAGGCCTAGGCCCTCCTCCTTACAGGCCCACATCCTATATCCTGTGTCCCCCCCCACCCCTGCTGAGTGCTGGAATGCACAAATGGACACTGAGATCGTCACCCTTGCTTATAGGGAGTCAGAACAGAGTGGTGAATGAGGGTGACGGCGGGGGCTGTCTGAGGAGGTGACATTTGAGCTGGCCTGTGCTGTGGTGATGGGGGAACAGCATGTATAAGGCCCTGGGGTGAGAGCCAGCCTGGGCTGTCGATGTGAGGCACACCGGTTTGGGGAAATGTCAGGCAAGTACAGTGCAGTCTGTACTTGGGGGCAGAGGTTCTTTTATCATGATGGGCTGACAGATAAAAATAGTATTGGTGACAGTATGGAGGTGCTGGTATTCAGTGTGGCACAAATGACATTGATGTTGAAATCTGTCATCTGCTTGGTCCTCTAGGGCAGGTGTGTGAGTCTGCTTTATAAAAGGGGAAACTGAGGCTCAGAGGCCTATGCGTCCTCCCTCTCCCCCAGTGGTTGGTGTGGACTGGACCACCTGGCTCTCAGTGTCACCTCCTAGGGCCCTTGTTTGGGGAGGGTCCTCAGTACCCCTCTGTGGCTTCTGTCCTGGCCAAGTCCCCAGGGAAGGAGTGTAGACACCCTCTCTGCAGACCCTTGGTTCTGTCATGGTCTGTGTGTGTCGGTTAGAATGTCTGGGCCCCTTCCCTTCCCCCTGCTCTGGGGACTTTGTGGAGGCCTCCTGTCTGACCCCTACTTCACAGAAGGGGAACAGAGGGTGGAGGGCGGGTGGAGCAGCAGGGCCTTGCTGGGAAACCAGGGCAGCAGGTCCTGAGCAGTGGACGCTGTGTTGTCCCCACTGTACAGATGGGGACAATGAGGCCCAGAGAGGAGTGGCCCCCCCCCAAACCACCCTTCCCTGTCCTTAATGCCATTTGTTCATAGGCGCTGTTGGGGAGGGGATGGGACGGCCTTTCGCAGCCACACAGTGTCGGAAATGGATGTGTTCTTCTCAGTCCATGCTTCATGGCAGTGACCGAGGCCACCGAGCCGGTTCCTCACGCTCACATTTTCTGCTGGTGGTTGTGCTCCTTTGCCATGACTGCCTGCCATCACCAGTCACCACACTCCTGCTGGCTTCAAACAATCCAGGCGGGTCGCCTTACAGTTCTGGAGGCCACAAGTCTGAAGTGGGTCCTGCAGGGTGTGTCTGGGGGACCCCGGCTGGCCTTCCCTGTAGTGTCTGACTCTGGGGGCGGCTGCATTCCCTCGCTGGTGGCCTCTCCTTCCTCCAGCCTGCATAACATGTGGCTGCTTTCTCTGGCTCTGACCCTCACTCCCCTGCTCCTCTTATTTATAAGGGTCCTGGGTGACACTGGGCCATCTGGACAGTCTAGGATGTCCTCACCCCTTTCAGGATCGTTGCCTTGGCCACACCTGCAAAGTCACATCCGTTTGTGGATTCTGTGGATTGAGGTGTGGACGTCTTTGGCAGTTCATTATTCAGTCCCGTGGAGGTTGGGCCGTGGGGGCCGTGGTGATGT